ACCTATCAATAAAATACCACTAGAGGGGGATAGGGCTAAGCGGAGCGAAAAGGGTTTTAAAAGAATTAAATATCGATATTCTTTTTTCAAATCTAGATAATAAATAAAAACCGAATGATGAAAACTGTTGCTCCATTTCAAATTTCCTGCAACGAGAGTGATTATAGGAAGGACATTTTGGTCTTCACAATTGCTTATTTTCTTATTTATTTATTCATAAAAAAGGCATGCACTGGGATTTGAACCTTGGTCTCTTTAAAGGCAAGCAAGGATCATAACCAATCACACTAAGTATATTTATTATATCTATTTAAATTCAAACATACACGAACCTAAATTATGAAAATCATATGACTTTTTAACGATTAGTTGGCCACTAAATCTCCCGTAAGTACTTATTTGGTGTTTTAATACTTTGATTATTTTAGTTGTAGTTTAATACTTAATTTGAATTTCTATCTATTTTATAAATATACAATAACCCTAAAATTGCAGCCCAAATATCACTGGTTCGAATATTGCATATCGAATTGCAATATTAAACATGTAGAAGCAATATCGACTTCTTAAATTAATATTATTTTTCAGAATTAATATGGAGAAATTATATCTTTGTGCAAACTATATGAGACTGGTTCTTTTAATGTTTTAGTCGGGATAGCCGCTACATTTTAAACTTCTTCATAATCTTGCATGATTGGATCCAATGATCATTATACAAGATTGTGTTTAATAGGGTGGCTCATTTCACCACTTTTTGGCGTGTTAATGAATTTGTAGGACAATGACAGGTCTACATCTACACTCATCACAATCTACACATCATATAAATGTGAAATGTGAAATGAGAAAAGAGGGATTCCATTTCAAATTTGATGCGTACAGAGCAATTTTTTAGGGGTAAATTTAGAAGATGCCAGTGCGGTCGGTCAGTTGAGCACGAAAGTAAAAATATGTTTTCATTTAAACGGGCCCAAACTGTTATTTGGCCCACTAATCGTGCACCCATCGCCAATGCAGTCAAATTCGGGATTTTGATCGAAAAATCGTAGGATTTTAGGATTTTACTTAGCGATTCCGATCTTGATTTTACTATAAAATCGGTGGACCTTAAAATCGTTTAAAATCGGGACTAAAATCGTTAAAATCATAAAATAGTACCGAAATCGGGATTTTGATCGTAAGAGAACAAAATAGGTGGTTTGAGCCAATTTAAAATAAGTATAACTGTTTCAGCGGAAAGGGCAATGAAATCTTCTCAGATATTTTTCTATTAGAAAAATATTCAAAAATAATAAAAATAACCAAATTAGGGTTCGGTTAATCTCTTTCCCTTCACCCCATTTAACTTATTGGTAAAACACCTGTCCTAATATTGGAAGTATGTAAGAACTAACATCATTATTAACTAATTAATTTATTAATGAATATATTTGTACCAAGCCACTAACATTACTTATTTTATTGGAGTTCAATTATTTTTAGTTTTAAATCATACTTAGTAGACGATGTTGAAATATTACTTTGAGTTAAACAACCTAGACATAACATGAAAATAAGAGCCAAACCCATGAACTATATCCCTTCATCATGAATTATTCTGAGTTACACATTAAATAACAGTTAAAATAGTGATTTTGGAACATTAATCTTGAGAATTATCTTATGGAAAAAAAAATCTTCTGAATTATCATTTTAAATGCTATGTGTCTTTGTGATATTAATAATTTACCTTATTAATATTCTTATATGCTATGTTCTATATGGTACTTAAAATCCTACGATTTTACGATTCGATTATACGATTTTGATTTTATCCCAGTTTTCGATTTTAGGTGAAATCTCGATTTTAACTGCTTTGCCCATCGCAGCCTCTCCAAATCTTCCTATTCTACTCGCCGGGTCATCTCCTCCACTACAAAATATCTCCTCATGTACTCAAAGTTCTCACTGAAACCTAATATCTACAACTTAGGCGCAGAGGGAGCAACCGATGGATTGTAGCGACCCCCACTATTTTGATAGCTAATCAAGAAGAGCGCGTTTGTTTAGTTGTATGGTGATTCACTTAATTAACAATTTTTATTCCGTTGACAGCCTCATCTCCGCAATTGTATTGTGTTCACGAAGATCTGAAGGCGCAAGTGCAACAGGTCCAGGGGTAAACAATATGTATAAAGCGTTGGCCAAATTGAATTGAGTCATTCTACTTGGAATATGAAGATTTTTGCTTAATTGCTTTGGTTCGTGATGCAACTATGTTATGTTTGAAGGTAGACCAACGCAAACAACAGCACAGCTCCAGGGCTATTCTGCACATTAGGTAGTTGGGGCATTAATTGATAATTATTTGGGATTATTCCTACAAGTACATAATTTGGAACGTGCCATTATATTGCATTGATTAATAGTTGTTTGAGATTTTTCAAATGAGTGATTTGACATGTTAAACTCTCTTATTTTTGAAAATGGAGTCTTCGAAGTGGAATATGAAGATTTTGGATTAAGCTTGGTTTCGTAACGCCCTTATGTGTGTTTATTCTCTAAAATGCAGCTGTCTTTCAAAGTGCCCGTTGCAAATGGCAAGTCAGGATACAACGATGGTACCGGTACACGTTTATATCATTAGTAGGTAGCAGATTGTGTCCATTCTACTATATCATTTAGCTAAATACTTAGTTGTTCTTTTCAACTAAAAATTATGCTTAAATGCTGTGATTGGCCTCAGAAATGTATGTCTTTGCATTAACTGTTAATGATTGTGAGTTTTGGTTTAATGGTGAAAAGTCCATTTATTTAGAAGTCTAAATTGGGCAAACCTATTGGACAATAGGAATGCCATACATTAGTGTCGTGGGAGGTTTGTTTGATGTCTCAGGGTGTTAGATTTTTAAGAAGGTTGTTTGTTGTGGCAGAGAGTCCCTAAAGCTAGCGAGGTATTCCTGTGTGGGCTTTTTCTTTGTTTGACTTTTTCTCGCCTTTTTTATTATCTCTTTTTCTATTTTTGATTTTTGTGTGCTACCTTCAGTTGCTACGTCTTCATTTGTGAGCCATCTATACTTTTCTTATTCAGTGCCTAAAAATCATATATACTCGATTGTATAGTAGTTACTAATAGATACATTTATACCAATAGAGAGATTTTAAGTTTTATCAGTTGTTAGTTTTAATATTTACTTACATTGGTTGTTTATGTAGTTTTCTTTGTAATATTTCTCATTATACAACTAATTACTATGGCTACGTAGTTGTATAAGTGGGGGTTGGACATGATAGTTCTTAGAAGCATCAATACTTGAAGGTTATTATAATGACCAAATTCTAAAGTTATGGTTTGCCTTCAACTTGCTTGGAGCATTTCAATTATGCATCAATTGTTCTCTCCGTGTAGTTAACTCTCAGACAAATCGAAAATCTTGCTGATATGTGCTTGATTGTAGTTAAATTTAGGGTTCTACTGCATTGTTGCTTTACTCTTTTTTCGTGGTTGAGTCTGCTTCAAAAAATTTAGTTTGATTTTAGAAAATTTTGCTTCTGCAGTCCTGTCTTGCCACCAACGCGTTCAATAGATGGAGACGGGAGAGGCGAAGGCTATTTTTGTGTTGTTGTTGCTGGTTTAGGGATCGGTTTGTGAAGAAGAGGGAGAAGAGAGGGGGAAAGGGAAATGCAGGAGAGGGGGGTAACTCTTTTCTCCGACAAAAATGGAGTGAAGAAAGGAATTATGATAAGTAAGAATATGGTTATCTTACATAACGGTCTCTATTCTGTTTGAATTGAGCTTGAGAGGCAGTGATAAGGATGAGCTGCAACCAATTCATAGTGAGAAGAGAGCTATGAACTGTGATCATGTCTTATTTCAAGTTAGAAGGTAGTTTCAGTATAAGGATTATTTAATTTGACAAGTTGTTTCGTCCATGATTCTTGGTAGTTTCAGTGTCATTCTAGCCAATGTTTAGTCTGTAATTTTTGAGAATTGATGTGCGAGTAATGACTTTCACTTAGCTTCAACTATTATGTGTGTATTTATTGGCATGTGATAGAATTCTCTTTTCCTTTTCATTGAATTCATTTTCATACTCTAATTGTATTATTTGTACATAGGCAAATCATGCTCGAGATGGCAACTCGCTGATATGGCTGGTGCAAGGAATGAAGCCATCATTAGAATTCAGACCGACAACGGGGAGGGATGCCCAGGACTAATTCAATGATGATTGATGATGGTATAATAAAAACTGCAGTCTGCATCAGCACCAATTTCTAGGCCTAAGTAAAGGTATTCAACCCAGAACTCTGCTTAGCGCTAAAAATTGCCCTCACCCAACCTTGATCCTGTTTGACCCACTTCTGAAGAGTCAAGATATATGACTAATCCTCCCCGTTCGTATTTTCTTATTGACTCTTTCTGACCCTGTAGGTTGGGGCGGGTCGGGAAGAATTGGATTAGTGGGTCGGTCCTAATCAAGTGGAATCCCAATCCCTTCACTCTCACTTGCTTTCTCTCCCATTCCACAAGTGGGTAACATACAGTAATCCGGCCAACGGGCCGGGTAATAAGCTAGTAACATATAAGAATCGATCGACCCCTCATGTACCCGCACATGTATTACTCGACTTGACCCATTCTTAATGCATGGCGAGTATGAGACTATGAATATTGTGATACCCGCTGCGGCCCATTGTGATCACTATCTACAACTTCTTCTTCAAGAATATTAATGCACAATTAGAACGGTCTATATCTTCCATTTATTGATTCATAGATGCTTTTGGAGGTCCTTTTCTTTAAATCCTTTTTGTGCGTAAGTGATTAGCCCAAATTATGGTTAGATTCCATCTCCAATAACTTTTTTTTTTTTTGAAGGGGTCGGTAGATTTATCATTCGAATATAAGATAAACCTTGAGTAGTAGTATTTCCATTAGAATATAGGTACTAGTGTGATGAACGAATTATCTGAGACTAAACTAAACAGAGTTCCACTCAAACAATCAAAATTTCCAACATTAACAGGTCAATTAATAACGAACAACAACTATTTTATGTAATGATTTTCATTTTTCCATTACTTCCTACACGGAATTTACCATAATCATACACATACATAGACAAATGTTAGAACTCGACCTCTGGTTTCGCTTAGAAATTTCGAGAAACGAAACCATATCAAACTTCTAAACTTCCATTCCAACCACCAAAGCCACACTCGAGAAAAAGACACAAACCCAAGATTATTACTAATTTACATAGAAACTATAAGCTACAACACATTTAACTTTCTCTTGATCATATCCCCAACCCACTTAACCCTCTTTTGATACTTAATCTCCCACTAACACTTCTCCTCAACCCCATTACTCTTCTTCTTCTCCACAATCTCCATTGCCCCACCACCCTCTTTCCCACTAGGCTTGTACCAGACAGCACACACCAAGAACACAACAAAGTTCACCACCCCAAGAACTGCCAACAACCCGTAGAAGCAATCAAGCCTTCCATGATTAATGTTGTCAGCCAGCCACCCCTGCCCACCATTTCCACCACCGGAAGTCACTTTCTTCACCACCATGACCAAGAAGCTGCTGACGAAGAACCCGAGGGAGAGAGTGGTGAGGAACAGCCCCGTGCTCATCGTCTTCATCCCTTTAGGGGACTGTGTGATGAAGAAGTCCAGCTGCCCTGTGTAGATGAATGCCTCCCCTGAACCGACCAGGAGGAACTGTGGGATCAGCAGGAAGACCGAGATTGGGACGGTTTTCGTCGCGGCGGTGATGGATTTGGCGGCTGATAGGCGGCGGCTTTCGGCCAGGGCGGCAACGGCCATACCGATGGTGGAGAGGGCCAGGCCGATTGCTATCCTCTGGAGGCTGCTGAAACCTGTTTTGTTGGGAGAGGCAGGGGAAGTGAGTGAATAAAAGATGGTGGGCTAATTGGGAATTTGTTGGAAAATTTTCAGTTTGGTCCCCTTTCTTTGGGAGTTATGTAATTGAGTCCATATTGTAGGAGTACTTAATTGAGATGTTATTATAGTGGCATAATTGAGTAATTTGTTAAGAGTGATTTATGATACGACCTTATACGTTTTGATCACACGAGCCTCGGGATTATATAGTATTGACTCGCTAAGATTTTATGATAAAAAAGTATTTTGTAGTGTGAATTATGACAATATTTTATGTTAACGACTAATTTTGAGTATAAAAATCGAGTAACCAAGCTTTACTTTTGAGTGATAACTTACTTAAGAAAAGTTCAAACACCACATTGTATTTTTGCTTGTGGAAATATGATAACAATAAACGTAATACGTTTGTACAAATTTCAAATCCCATCAAACAATCTTTAATTCTGAGATAATTCGTAAAAGAGTTATATGTAATTTTTACACCTTAAAAGTTAAAACTGATGTTAAATACCTATAAATCCATTTTTAGGCTAGTTTGAACATTTTCGAGCTATTTAAATAATAATTTGAAAGACCAAATTGTAACTTTTCCTAAAATCCATGGACCAAACAAGTAATTAACCCATTTACTTTTCTCTTCCAACTTGATCACTATATAATCATCAATTTGTATATAAGCCCTTCCGAGTGCACAAACTTCTTACCTGGTTTGCCTCTCCATTTCTTCCAAACGGGCATGACCAACCGATCATACACAGCCAGGGTGAGCAGAATCGCAGCCACAAAGAACACGGTAAGCGAACCTGCCGGAATCTCGAAGCTCCCTACGTTTCTATCCATGGTGGAAGCTTGCTCCACCGAGAAAGTAATCATCTGAGCATACGTCGTCCAGAATATGATCGTCGTCGCCCAAATCGGCAGCAACCTCACCATCATCTTCACCTCTTCCACCCGGGTCACGGAGCACAGCCTCCACGGGTTAGGCTCCGAACCCGGGCGGCCATTGTTGCTAGCCTCAAAATCACCCTGAACACCAATTGCTGCCTTGTCCAAGAATTGGAATTGGTTTGTATGTTGAATCCTTGTGACATCAGGATTGGTCTCATACAGCAAATTGACATCATAGGGCAAGTCCATTTTCCTTTTCCCAATTGCTGCTGCAATGACTTGAAGGATGTGGACTATAGGGCTCCCCATGGATTTCTTGTACCTGTATTAGAGTGTGTTGAGTAAAAGTATGAGTACCGTTGTGTAATTTTCCATAGTCTCATTACTTGCCCTACAAGTTAAGTTTCTACCATTACCTGTATTTCTTAGTTCCAGAGAGCAAGATTGCAATGGCGATGAACATGGAGGCAGAGCAGATCCCATAGGCCCAGCTCCGGCCCACTTCGTCCTGGATGTAGACCAACACCGTTACCGCCAAGAGAGTCCCTAAGCTGATGAAGAAGAAGAACCTGTTGAAGAAGTAGGCCATCTGAGCTTTCTCCTTCTCATCCTTCTCGTCGAATTGATCTGTACCGAATCCTGATACACTCGATTTCAAGCCTCCTGTGCCCAGTGCTATGAGGTACAGTGCCATGTACAGAATCCCCATTTGGAATCCAGTTGCTGGGGTGCAGGAGCTGTTGTTAGCATGGCATGGTGGTGGCCTTAGCTGTGGCAGCTTTGTGGCTACTGCTAATGTTGCAGTCCCCTGATGATAAAGAAAAGTTTAGGGATCAAATGGGGAAATTGTGGTGACAAAAAAGATTGGAACTTTTTTTTGGTTTTAGTTTACTTACAATGGCTTGGACAACAGAGAAGATGGCAATGGTCTTGAACCTGCCTAAGAAAGAGTCAGCAAGGAAGCCACCAAGCAAGCACAAGAGGAAAGATGTGCCCATGAAGTCTGTGACCACATTAGCTGAGGTAGCACTAGGCATGTGCATTGTTCCAATGAGATATGTCACCAAGTTCACTGCAATTCCCATGGTTGACAGCCTCTCACATATCTCAATCCCTGTGTTCAATTAGAGAAGCAATGAATGATTAGTCTCTAATGTGGTTGTAACTAATCCATTATTGGTAGGTAAAAGTGCAGCATCATTTCACCCTTTTTCACTTTTTAGCAGAAAGTGAGAGGATGCATCTTTTGATCTTTTCAAACTTGGTTTTGTCATTTTCTATCCTTTTTTGACTTATTAACTTAAAGTGTTGGGGTGGTAAGAGTAACAGAGAAAGCCAGAGAAAAAACAATCATGGCAACAGGAAACATATTTCAGCTCAGCATCTTTGTAACAGCACATGCACAGACTGATCAAAGATAGAATATTGTTCTTTTTATCTACATCTACCCTTCCCAAAATCCCAAACAGAAAATGATTTCACTGTTTCCATCATCTTCCTCAGACCAAAGCATTTTATAGTGGGAGCCTGTGCACTTTTGTTCTGTAGCAGCAGTCCCATTTAATGTGACAACTTGACATATTGGAAAGTGCAGCATGTTATCATACAGAGTTTGCTTGTTTGTTTCTGGACACCAGTACAACTTCTACTTGTTCTTAGTGAAGATTAAATCACGAGACTGGCCTCCATAATCATAAACTGCCATCACATTTGGGTTGAATGGCAATGAAAGTCTGGACTTTCTGGGTTTTTCCAATCCATTTTCATGGTGAGATATGATATGATAGCTATGAACTCCCTAAACATGGATTTCAGAAGCATGACATGAACAATGAAGCCAGAAACCAGAAATGGAAGGAGATTTTTTTAGAAGGAGAAACAAACCTAGGATGAGTGCAGCAGGAACCCAACCACCAGTTTTGGACTTGTCAGCAGGGAAACCTTTGTAATCCACAGCATCTGCTACTGTCCAACTCATCTTCCCATCCTATGAAAAAGTTTAGTGCACAGTAACTAACATGAGAAAATGATCTCCAACAAGTTGTTAATATTAAACAGTATTGACAAGTTGTTGATACTAACCATGGTTGCAAGCTTCTGGGAACAGGAGTAGGGGTTTTTTTGGTGAAAGAAAGAGAAAGAGAGATGATTAGAATAGTGAAGAGAAGTGTAGTGCTTGTGTGTTTTGCCACTTGGGTCTTGAAGGGGGTTCCCCCTTTTATAGGCAAAATCTCTGAACTGGGAAAGAAAAAAGGGTTTGATGACTCTCCACTAAGGAACAGTGCAAACATACAACTGCTAGCTGCTGCTTCTTGTGTTCTTGATAAAGGCAGTAGCTTTTTTCATCTCAACCCTTTAAAAAAAAGAACTTTTGGGTAGTGGAAGATTCTAGTGATAGAGCATTAGGTTAATCAATATGCATTTAAGTTGTAAGGCAAAATTAAAGGTGATATTGATTGGGGAGGGAGAAAAAGTGGGTTAACAAGAAGTAGAAAGAAAGAATTGAGGCTGAGATAGGAATATGCAGCAAAATTGTGCCATTACTGTCACCTTTCTTTTTGCTTTATGTGGCTTGGATTAAGAAGATAGGTTTCTTATTGTTGGATTTCTGAAATGTTGTGAACCACAGTAGAGCTAGCTGCTTTCTAGTGCTGTTTCTGCCCCACCATTTTGCTGCAATATGGACGTTGATCTCCCTAAAGCTGTTTTAGACCTTGTGGGATTGGGATGGGGATGAAATCAACTTCAGAAAGAAAAAAAAAAAAAGAAAAAAAAAACGAGGGTTAGATTGGGATTGGAGAAACAGAAGGGATGAAGAAAACAACCACCATTGAAAGCTATAAAAAAAAAAAAGTTTTGTTCTTTCACCTGCAGATTGGTAGGTAAGTGGCCTGTATTTGACTGCAACTTTGCAGCTGATATTTTGTGAACGTGGGCAGATCTGATCTTTTGGATTGGAATTGGAACTTTGGAGATGTGGGATGGATGGATAGACATTAGTGTTTAGGGAATAAAAAGGAAAAGGCGTGATCTTTGGGTTGGAGATCTTATTATGGAAGTTGGTTTAGGTCTGCTAGCCTAGGTAGTTACTGTAAGATCAGATAAAATTTTGGATTAGGATCTCCATTGATTATGTTCATCACGATCCTGCCATCTGTGTCATTTGTTGAGTATCGATCACTATATCACTCATCTGTGGAATGGTGCATTAATACTATTATTGTAATGATTGTTGTTATATTTGTTTGCTGCAAGTTTGTTGGCATTTGGCAGAGTTTGTCCTGTAAACGGCAATGAAATGAAGGACAACATTCATGTGATCTTACAGCAGATGGAAATTTCTCTATGGCAGCTCAATGGGGAAGTTTCTGCAGAAATGGAGAGTGAAGTTTTTACATACTAAAAAGCGTTAGTGGTCCCTAATATTATATCATTTTCACAACCATGTCTCTGTACCATGATTTTTGACGAATACATTGGGATGATGTGCGCTTGTCTATTATTTCTAATCTTTCAATTAAATTTGCAGACAAGTAAGATCATCAATTTTGGTTTTTATAAAGTATTAATCATTTGAGACATAATGGATTTGGATAAGAGAGCAAAATGCAAACTCCCAACATACAAGGACTAGTGAATTATCAAGGTAGTGCTAAACTTGAATCAAGTCAAGTAATAATTTGGGTTTGGTTTGAATCTTTCACATAAAGGCTAGAGATGGTTAAAGAGTATAGTATAGGAACTTGTTTGTGAAAATTCATGTTGTAAGGATGTAATTGTTATGGCAACATATTATAGGGATTAACCCTACCATAAACGTATACTGTGTATCAGAAATGGCAGTTTTTTATACTTTGAGTAGTAGCTTATTTGGCTTAATTCATTTTATCCCTTTGAAAATTGGATTTGAATGGGGTGGTATTTATCCAAATCTAGTATGTTCGTTATTAGTTAGATTGAATATTGATTGGATCGAATTTAAATCTTAGAATGAGTTTCATTTGATTTTATCTTGCTAGTTCAATATTATTTCTCTATGAAATTATCCAAACTAATCATATTAAGTCAATCATGTTAAAATAATGGCATGCCATCTAAATAAGTAAATAACTAAACTCACACGACAGTGATAATTTACCATGACTAAAAATTTAAGTAATTTGCGTTGTTCAAAATTCTATTAACCTTTCGTCTTAAATAAATTTTCTTAATCAATCAAAATCAATTCAACATACATCACCACATTGAAATTTCTTCTTGATTAATTATCGGGAAAAATTCTTCATGGATTCCAATTTTGAATTTCAAAACTCCATTGAAAAAGAAATTTTATCATAGTTCCGAGCAAATAATTATTTAGTCACACACAATCCTAAACAACAATATTCTTATATGATCCATTTGGATGATATCTTTCAAGACATCCTACTAACAAGTACTGGAGTTGGTTGGCATTCAAAAAGTTAAGATTTAGCAGACAATTCATCGAGAAGATCAATATACAAGCATAGTAAATCATAACCAAGTGGGTCATCTTTGCTTCACTTGTAAATAAAAGGGGCTTGCTATTTGCCGCCAAACAAATTGCTATTTGCCGCCAACTAAAATATATATATATATATATGTACATCTTTGGTTAAGAAATTTCACAATCTACAACGTATCCAACTTTCAGAAAACGTATTGAATCAGAAAAAATCGACGCTCGCCGGAAAAGTCGCCGGAAAACCATCGGGAAAGCCCATCCTCGACGTAAACTGCGGACACGCATCCATGAATCATCACTAAGCAGGTGCGTCAACCTCCCGTCATCCTCAATCGTCGGAAAACAAGTAAGTTTACTTTTTCCGGCAAGTTTTTCAATTTTCTGGCAATTTTTCCAGTTTTCCGGCGAAAAACATGGTGGGCCGAAAAAATCTTGTGCCCGGTGCGCCGCCGGACCGAAACTTTTTTGCGGCCGGCGCGACGCCCGGCCGAAATATTTTTTCAGCCCGTCGTCGCCCCGGTCGCAAATTTTTTTTGGCCGGTCGCCGAACGCGCCGCCATGAATTTTTCCGGCGGCGGGTTCGGCGACCGGCCGAAAAAAATTTGCGGACGGAACGCCGCCGGGCCGAAAGAATTTTTCGGCTGGGCGTCGCTCCGGCCGAAAAATTCTTTCGGCCCGGCGGCGTTCCAGCCACAAAATTTTTTCGGCCCACCGTGTTTTTTCGCCGGAAAACTGGAAAAATTGCCGAAAAATTGAAAAACTTGCCGGAAAAAGTAAACTTACTTGTTTTCCGACGATTGAGGACGACGGGAGGTTGACGCACTTGCTTAGTGATGATTCATGGATGCGTGTCCGCAGTTTACGTCGAGGATGGGCTTTTCGATGGTTTTCCGGCGACTTTTCCGACGAGCGTCGATTTTTTCTGATTCAATACGTTTTCTGAAAGTTGGATATGTTGTAGATTGTGAAATTTCTTAACCAAAGATGTACATATATACTTTTTTTTTTGGTTGGCGGCAAATAGCAATTTGGTTGGCGGCAAATAGCCGTTCACAAATAAAAAGAGGGCTCTAACTTCCTTAATCAACGAGAATAACTAATTATAGTCGAGCATGCCATTATATAGTTGTCCATGAATGACAGTTAATATAGTCATATCATAAACTACTTTTATAGAATAAAGTAAGAATACATAATTAATCACTACGAATCTTCGCACTAGAACGACTTAACCATATAGTGGGGTTCAAGAGATTATAATTTTTTCTTCTTCAAATGCCACTCATTACTCATACTTGAGTACTAAACCCTAAAACTGATTTCCAGCCAGTAACGAGGTTGTGGACTGTATTTGAGATGGAAGCCAATGGTGTTGTATGAAAGAAACTCTCTAGCTAGGTCCATTATTGAGAGACATTGTCTCTCTTAAGGGTTGACTCTTGGAGAATGTTTTTTTTTCTGTGATCAACATTGTTTCCAGTAGGTCCAATGAAAGTTGACCAAACAGAAAGCACTGATTTGATTCATTTCACAGATCCTGCTTCATCATTCTCAAGGGACACTTTTATAATCCTCAGAGGTTTCCAAGGACCCATGTCTGGTCCATGTGGTCTCGCACGTGCCATGTCACTGAGCTCCACACGTGTCCAAATGGGAATGACAAAGTTGTAATAATTGATCATGCAGTGCATACTTAGCTGCATAATTGTACCATACCAGCAGACACCATGAAGTGCAATAGCTGCTGGCCCTAGCCATTAGAGCGACATGGAACATGAGAGAGAGAGAGAGAGAGAGAGAGAGAGAGAGAGAGAGAGAGAGAGAGAAGGGAGAGTGGGAGTGTGTTAAAACTTAACATGGTTCCCACTTAGGCAGATGAGTTAAAAGAATAAGAAGGATGATGATTGATGAGTGAAGTTGTTGGGTAATTTGACTCAATTATCATAATTTACATGAGTATTGGGTTGGATTCAAATGAACTAAAATATGTACTTTTAATTGTTTAGGGTTTGAGTCGCGTTAGATTGAATTAAATTTGGGTCGTACCCAATGAGTGTATTGGGGTCCAGATGATCGTATACAAAAAAATAATAATATCGATTATCTCATTAACTGCTTTCAACCCAATTACACCTTTGAAGTTGGTATTTCCAACTTTTGTTTGTTTCGTAACAAAAAATAATGCCAAAGCTTCACTAGAACTGGATATTCATTTTCTTCAGAGTACCCACCAATATTATGAATCAAATTTAGATCAAAACTAAAGAATTAGGTATAAGTCTACCAAAATGTAAAATTACCCAAATGTAACTAATTAATCATTAATAAATTGGATTTGAGCAATACTGAACACTTGTTTTTTCCCATCCTATTTAGAATGAAAACCATATGGTGATCATTGATGAAACTAACTAGCACCAGACAATCCATCTGGTGTCCTATTATATCTTTTCATTCTTCCTCCATATATATCCCACCGCCATGGCCATCCCCACCATGTAATCCCTCCCTTTTCCCCCCACTTAGAAAAATGTATGGGCTTGATTAACATGTATGGATTGCCAATACAACTTTTGGTGAGAAACCCATGAGATAGCGATGTAAACACTAAACACTTCTTCAAATCTCTTTCACCATTTTTATACCCTTTGGTTGCACCACTTCTTATATATAACTCATGTCATGAGTTTGAAGTTTACGCAAAAATTATTATATATACATTGCATAGTTAGTACATACTCCGTTTAATACATGTATATGTACCCCGTACGTATTTTATCCGTTTAAAACTTCCGTATCCGTACTATTGTCAAGCCGTTTTATTTTTTACCGTTCATTTGATGGCTCCCATACTAAACACGTATAAAACCCGTATAACACGTTTAATATCCATATTTAATGACTTAAATTTTCAACTTTACTATTATTTATATATTTATATAATTTTGAAATAATTTATTTTATATATTTATTACTATTAACGTACTATTAAACGTAACATTAGATTAGAAACAAAGTTAAATATCCGTACGTATTTTATATGTAACTTTCCCGGACCGTATTTTACTAACTATGATACATTGTGCACACATATCTCTTGATCAAAACTATACTACCATATCATGAAAAAATTCATCTCAATACATACTCCAAATTATTGAGTGAGACTCATATATTTAATCTCGAATCTCATCTCTTACCCAACAACTCTCAATGTAGGTAGTGCAGTGACGGGATTAAATATGACAGACACATACGAATTTCAAATCCAGACAAATATTAAAACTAACAACCCGATCGAGAGTACCGATAAAGTTTATGTTTTGACATCTCGAAAAGAGTTGAAAATTGTTAGACTGCAATGATACATGAGATGGTGAAAGGATTGTTTAGAGAGAGAGAAAAAACCCAGCAAATTGATCCAATGGGCATGTCTAGCCAGAAATGTTGGTGCAATGGGGCCATATGCCAAGCCAAAGGATTTGTATCCCAAATGAATTTGACTTTGACACACTACAGAAAGAAATAAACTGGATGATCGCCAGCCAAATATATGTATGTGTTAATGTAAGTGGCCATAAGCTGGGAACTCAACTCAATACTCCACCCGCCATTATTGCCAACAGCTGTATTCTTTCTTTGCAGGTAGTGCTCTTCTGATCTGTGCAAATCTTCCTGCCATCTCTCTC